TTCTCCAGCCGGTCCTTCCCAGCCTCTTACCTGCCGCCTATTTCTGTGGATTTGTCTATTCTGGGCATTTTATATACATGCAGTCAAACAACATGTAGTTTTTTATGACTGGCTTTTACTTGGCATGATGTTTCCAAGTTTTGTCCATATTGTCGCATGTATTGGTAGTTTGCTTCTTTTTATGGCTGAATATTCCATTGTATAAATAGACTGCACATTATTTATTCAGTCATCGTGTGTGGACATTTTGTTTTCCTCATTTTTTGGCTATTGTGAATAATGCTGCTGTGAACATCTGTGTAGAAGTTTTCTGTCTGTGTGTTACCGTTCCTTTTTTTAATATTGCTAGGAATGGGATTGCTAAATCATATGGTAACTCTGTTTAGTGTAAAGGAATTGCCAACCTGTTTTCCAAAGTGGCATTTTACAGTCCTACCAACAATAATTGAGTGTTCTAATTTCTCTGTTATCACCAACTGTTGATACTGTCTTTTTTATTATAGCCATTCTAGAGAATGTGAAGTGGTATCTCATTGTGGTTTTTATTCACATATCCCTAATGACTAATAATGTTTTTCATCTTTTCATGTACTTTTTTTTCTATGTGCATATCTTTTGAGAAATGTCAATTCATATCCTTTCCCCATTTTTTAAATTGGATTGTCTTTTTGTTGTTCAGTTGCAAAAGCTCTTCATATATACTGGACATTAAATACTTACCAGATATGTAATTCATAGATATTTTCTGTGGATTATTTTTTAACTTTCTTGATGATGTCCTTTGAAGCACAAATACTTTTGATTTTGATGAAGTCTAATTTTTTAACTTATCTTTCTCTTTTGTTGCCTGTGCTTTTGGTGTTTTATGTGAGAAACCATGCTGTTATCTGAGGTCACAAAGACTCACTCTTATGTGTACTTACAAGGGTTTTATATTTCTTTATCTTAGGTCTCTATTCCATTATAAGCTAATATTTGTTTATAGTGTGAGCTAGGGGTCCAGATTTATTCTTTTTCGGTAGATGTCCAGTTGTCCCAGCACCATTTGTTGAAAAGACTGTTCTTTCTTAATTGAGTGATCTTGGTACCATTATCACAGTCAGCTGATCATATGATCAGTGTTGGTTTCTGGGCTTTCAGTTCATTCCATTGCTCTATATGTCTAACCTTAATGCTAAAACCACATGTCTTGATTATTATAACATTGTAGTGTGTTTTGAAATTAAGGAAGTAAGAGTCCTCCAAGTTTGGGTTTTATTTTTTCAAGATTATCTCTATTATTCTGGGTCACTTTCATTTCCATATGAATTTCAGGATCAGCTTATCACTTTCTGGAAAAAGCTGGGACTCGGATTCAGGTAGAGATTGCCTTAATTCTGTAATCAGTGATGAATATTGCCATCTTGACATTATTTAGTCTTTTGCTGCATGAATATGGGATGTCTTAACATTTATTTAGATCTTTGTTCAATAATGTTTTGTAATTTTCAATGTAGGATTCTTGCATTTTTCTGGATAAATTTAATCCTAAGTATTTTTTGTGATGTTACTGTAAATTTAATTATTTTCTTAATTTCATTTTTCAGCTTGTTTATTGCCAGTGTACAGAAGTACAATTGATTTTTGTATATTGATCTTGTGCAAAGCTTGCTGAACTCATTTATTCATTCTAAAACTTTTTAAGTGGGTTCCTTAGAATTTTCCATATACAAGATCATGCCATCTGTGAATAGAGATAGTTTTATTTCTTTCTTTCCAGCCTAGATACTTTGTATTTCTTTCCTGTTTTCCCTGGCTAGAACATCCTATCTAATGTTGACTAGAAATGGAAAGAGTGGACAAGGCCCTTCTTTTTCCTGAGCTGGAAAGCATTCATTCTTCCAGCATTAAGTATGGCATTAAGCCGTGGGTTGTTCATAGATGCCCTTTGTCAGGTTGAAGAAGTACTCTTCTCATTAAGTATTTTATCGTGAAATAGTGTTGGATTTTGTGAAAGACTTTTTTCTGTGTTCATGGAGGGGATAATAATATGGTTTTGTCCTTTATTCTAATGTATAGTATTTGATTTGTGAGCTTGTTGAGCATAAGGTTGTTTACTCACTTTAATGTCTTCTTTAACTTTGCTAAGAACTGTTCCTCTCACATAGCTATAGTCTCTAAAATGTTTTTTGGATGCTAATTTTACACATGATGATTTTGTAAGGAGGCTGTCTGAAATTTTCAACTAGAATTTGTAGAGTACTCTAGCTATTTTTGCTTATTCTGCAGGGTGGTAGTGCTTCATTATTAACGTTAATAGGTATTCATTACCTTAACTAATATGAAACTTGAATCTAGAAAAAATATTCGATTGGCATATTGTTTATGCCTAATTGGTTTTATAGTGTTTACTTGCTACTAAGAGTTACACTTGTTCTAATTTTATACTATTAGACTAGTCCGACTTTATTATTATCTACCCAGGTAAAAATACTGATTGTACACGCTTCCTCTATGTTTATTCTCCCATTTTAAAATAAAGTAAGTTAGGAATTTGACTCTGTGTGTATGTTTGTGCTTATGTATTTAAGGCATACAGTAGATACTCAGTAAGTATTTCTTACATTAAGAAAATAGATTTATCATGTTAGCTAGAAATAAATGACTATTTATATTAATCTCATTAAAAAGTACAGTTTTGTCTGGAATGGTGCCATGTGTAAAGTAAGCATAAAACTTTTCTTGACCTCCATGTAACTAAGTTTATGGATTTTACAGACACTTTTCATTGTCTTTGAATAAAATATTGACTGATGCCCACAACATGCTGAAGTTTCGAGACTTGTAGCCTGTTCCCATGAGGCCCAAAGTAACAGCTATTTGCTTGTCCTTGGTTTACCAGCCATCAGTTTTGTCTGTTCCCAAATATGTTCGCATTTCATATTTGATATTATAGTGAAATAATTAATAACATATAAATTGATAAAGTAGGAATGTAAAAAGAGAGGGTTTTTAATATGTGAAAACCTACAGTGAACATTTTGGAAAAACTTCATGAGGGTCAGTCACCTAAAATTTCCTTTCTGATGTTATGTGGATAAAATAACAGTAGACAATTGGAAAAGAAATAATAAGTCTATATGAATGCTGTGCTTAGATTGCATTGCCAGTATCTGTAAAGTTGCACTTGAAAAATTAAATATAAATCTTATACCTGGGTAGTTACGGTTATGTTTTTTATTCAAGGAAAACAATGCTGAACTCTAGTTAATAGAACCACACTTACAGAAAACATCTTTGGCTAACTAATATCATAAGGTTAGCAAAATTATGTTTTATGTGTAAATAGCATGTAAGCTAAGTAGAATTTTAATGATTCTCCACAATAGCTCCCATTTTTTATGACCTTAGTTATCAGTCCTGATCTGGTCATGTAAGAGAAATTTTACACTAGTCATATAAAATGGAAATAAGAGAATGTGCTAATTGGTACTAGGAGGAATAATTTATCTGGGAAGATTTGAATTGACTCATTTTACTGAATAAAAGAGCAAAGTCTTTGCTGTCATCTGAGAAAAATGAATCAACAGAGATGAAGACCTTTCTTTCCTTATCCTACTTCTGTGTGATGTGGCACCACCAGGTGCCCATAGTAGCAGTTTGAAATCTAGTTTCCCAGTTGCATTTGGGCAATTTCTGTAGCAAATATACTACCATCGATGATAATAATGATGAATTCAAGGTGCTTGAAGAGTGGGGTTGCTGTTGGCTAAATACGTTCAATTAGTCCGTTACTTTATAAAATAATCGAAGAGTTAATGGTTAGTAAAAAAATGAAAAAGTCCATTGAATATAAATACCACCTAGAAATATTTTTAAAAGTCAGAAAAAATGGTTAGAGAATAGGAATTTCATCTTTGTTGCAATTATTTTTAATTAAGAAGAACCCTAGGACATGTGTACATGGAATGTAGAAATAATCTATATACCTGAGTTTGAATTTATATAGAGTGCTGTCATTTTATTAAATCCCTTGAAATTTTATTTTTGTATTTAGTTTTTTATTTTGTGTTAATATTTATTGAGTAGTGAAAAGTAGATTATTAAAGCAGCATATTAAAATGTCTAATCTCATTTCAAGTTTATTGTTATATGTTAAAAACATATAATGATAGCTGGCATATAAGTTCTATAAGTGTTTTTCTTCTTATTTGTTCGTTACTCACCATACCTTATTAATTAAGAGTGTAGACTTCGGAGCTAGAATGTTATTCAGATTCTATCTCTGCTAATTTCTAATTGTGTGACTTGGGGCAAGTTACTTAATTTCTCTGTGCTGCAATTTTTTATCTGTTTATATGAGGTGAAATTATATATTCTTCATGGGTTTTAAGAATTAAATTAAAGTATGTAACATGTTTATATAATGCCTAAGAAGAAAATGCTTTGTGTTCACTTTTATTATATACAAATTCATAGAAATTTGCATTTTAATCTATATTCAAGCCTGTCGTAAAAATTGATATAGTCATTGGCGTGATAACATCATGCCACATAGTTACATGGCTCTTCATTATATTTTTAGTGTAAACTATTTTAAAATGACCCTACAGGAATGAAAAATTTTTGAAAAGGATTATATAAGAGCAATATTCCAAAATAACATTTGTCTGCTTTTCAGATTCCTCATCTTTTTATTCTAAGTGAGAGAAAAAATGTGGGTCAGAGTAAAGTTTTATAAATATATATTATTTTGTTTTTGTTTATTGCTGTTTTATATCCTTTTTTCTCTAATATTGTCTTATTTCTTTTAGATCTGTAGTCATTGAACATTCTAATTTTCAACAGAGACTACCTGATTAGATCGATGTGTAATAAACCTACGTCTAAATGTAGACCTCAGTAAGTAGCATGTATTGACTCTCAGGTCACTGGACTATTTATGAGTCTGTTATAATATTTACCGAATTTCTATAAAAAGCCCACACATACCATAAACTCCTTAATGGAATTACTGACAGCTTTGGGCGTCCAGGAGTAGAATGTTACTGCCAGCACGACAGCGGAGCCGCGGTAATCCAGCTCCAGTTCCTGATTAATGAGGTCAGTGGATTGCTTTAATCTCTCCTCCATGTGTACGACATAGAGCCACGTCTGGTCTTTAAGATTTCTTGCATTCATTCATATTGAAATATGTAAACAAAAAACTGATTTCTTACAGTTCAGAGATAATAGTAATTCACTGTAAGGCATCATTTTGGACAGTTATATAAATGATGTTTCTCAAAACAGTGTTGCAAATAGAATGGTATAAGCTAAATCATTTTGGTAGAGGGTGCTGCATTTAAATTTTATTTCAGTGATATTGAAAGTTATAAAACATATAAAAATTCATATTAAAATGTTTTTAAAGGTAGAATTTATTATAAATAACAAAATGTACTTCTCAAATGGGTTTTGAAACACAACCAGTAAACCAAAATCTCTTAGAAACTGTTTATTGTCCAAAGTTCTTGTTGTGTCTCTTATTGGTTGAAGTAATTGATGACACCTTTTTTTTTGTTTGGTAGAGTGTAGTTTGGAAGGATTTAGAGAAACCCCATTTCATCAGCAGAGTAAACAGTGTGTTTGCAGGTTTTAAAAAGTATGATCAGCTCTGAGAATAGGTGCTTACTATAACTAGTGACAGGCAGGAAAATCTGGTCATAAAAGGAAGAAAGAGAAATTACTCCAGAAATGGCTTTGTGATTCTTACATGTGAGGATAATTTTGTACATTATTTTTCTCTTAGATTCTTAAATGTATATGAGAGAAAGAAAATACTCACTACCTCTGGCTTTTGATAAATGTTTTGTTCATATCAAAGGATTAAAAGCATTGTGAGTGTAAAGAGTTAAAGATGATAAAAGGAAAATATTCAGCAAAATTAGGATCCAAATAACATGCAATTGCGTAGGTTTTTCAGGGTAAGAGGAAGCTTTTTTTGTAACTTTAGTATCCTCCATAGAGTTGCATAAAGTGTTAAAAAAAGGTTGTCAGGCCCATATATGAGGGCTCAGATTTTTTTCCATTAAAAAAAAGCTTTCATATTTTGAAATAATTAAGACTAGCAGTTAGTTTCAAAATAGAGAGCTCCTGTGCATTTTTTCCTCCAGCTTCTCCCATAGTAACATTTTATATAACAATACTACAATATTTGTCAATTGTGTTCCATATAAAATATATTGTACTTTGTTTTGAAGGGAGCTCTTGTGAGTGCCTTGGCTGATGACACCTTACACTTATGGAATTTACGTCAAAAGAGACCTGCCATACTGCATTCACTTAAATTCTGCAGAGAAAGGTGAGCGTCTCTTGCTTTTCATATGTATATGTGTGTATAAACATATCACACACACACACACATATATATTTGCTATTCTGTTTTGAAATATTTTCTTTGAATTTTGTTCTCTGATATTATTTTTTTGTGATGGACTTTATCCTAAAAATAATTCAGAACTTCTAAGAATGTCCAGAGAAAAGTAAGTTTTCTTCCTTTTCAGATTCATCTTCCTCCCAGAGGCAACCACATAAATTTCTTTTGTATGTCCTTTTAGAAATACTTACGGTCTGTGTATATAAGCAAAAATTCCTGTATAACGTTTTTTTGCATAAAAGGAAGGCATTACATATTTTCTCTAACTTTATCTGGTAGATTGTTTCATATTAGCACTTTTAAACCTTCCTTAGTCATTTTCATAAGTACATGATACTCCATTGTATGAAAATGTCATAATTTGTTCAGTCAGTCTTTGTTATTAATGGGCATTCATATCATTTTCTGTCTGCTGTTCATTTTGCTGTGTTGTAATATTATGTTACATATATGTCTGTCCACATTAATGAATGTATCTGTAAGATACTTGTAGAGTGGAACAGCTTGATCACAGAAATCTCTCATATGATGTGTGTTTGTGCTTTCATTGGAAAGGCATATTACACCCCAATTTTATTAAACATTCTTTCATACTTACAGTACTCTTACAGTTGTAGTTGTCATGCTTAATCTTTGATTTATACGGAACTTACTTTTGAGTAAATATGAGTAGGAATATAGTCATCTTCCTGCCTCCCATTGCTTGGGAGACTTACTTTTTGATTCATATATATATAAATACACACATACATATACATACATAAATACATATGTATATATCTGTATATGTCTGTATATGAGTATGTGTTGTATCTATATATATAAAAGAAGTTTGGGTCCAGCTGGTTTCTAAATGCAGTGGAGTAAGTGTCTTTGGCCATGTTTGTTGGAAGACAGGCATCAGACCACGGTTCTGCTTTGATGTCAGTCTGTTGAGGTTATATGACCAGGTCAGTCTCTTTAAGAGTCTGCACTTCTGCCCACAGTGGCCTTCAAAGTATGCAAACTGGGCTACCGGGAATATAGAAGTTCAACTTGTTGTTGACAAGGCATGTCTTTATTGTATGGGGGACATGGGGGGCAGAGACTAGAGCTGGCAGGGGGTCAGCAGCAAAGTTTGTTCTTGGGCTACATCTTGTCTGAGAAGGTAAGTCACCTAATGGCTTTAGTTGAATCATGGTATTACTTCTAAAGGAGGGACAGAGGTGAAGGAAGAGTTAATGAAAGGAGGGAGGGGTGAGATTAGGGAGGAAGAGTAAGCACAAAGTCAGGGTTCAGTTCTTTGCTACCTACTGGGAATAGAGCCAGCCTCTCAAGTTGCGGGGCAGAGTTCCTCAGTCTGCTAGCTGGTTGGATCTCAGGGGGAGCCTACCTCAGTCTCAAATGCGATGGAGCAGGAGGAAATAGTGGTGGGCATCTTCGCGCCAGGCAATACCTTCGTTCCCAGTCTCATACCACCTGCTGCAAATGAAGGTAGACCTGGCAGAGTAGTTGTCAGCCTGGCTTGATTTTATCCCCCGGAGGGCATGTGACAATGTCTGGAGATGTTTTTTGTTGTCACAAGTGGGGGTGGGCATGAGCAGTGCTCCTGACCTCTAGTGAACAAAGACCGGGGATGCTGCCAGACATGTTGCAGTGCACAAAAAGTGTCCTATTACAAAGAGTCATCAAGCCCAAAATAATAGTTCTGTCCAAGCTAAGAAACTGTGACCTACAGTACATCAAAATGATGTCACTTGGTCAGTACAGTACTACAGATGTTCTTTTTATTTAATTTTTTTAATTGTATTTTTTCACTACCATTTAATCTCCTCATATCCCCCTCCCTACTGTAATCACCTCACTGTTGGTGGTGTTCAAGAGTCCTTTTTCCTTTTTGCTCAATCCCTCTACCCACCAAGCCCCTCCCTCCCCTGCTTAGTATCATACTGCTCTCTGAGTCTGTCTTTATTTTACTTGTTAGTTCAGTTTGTTCATTAGATTCCACATATGACTGAAATCATGGGACTCGTCTTTCTATGACTAGCTTTTTTCACTTAGCATAATGTTCTCCAGGTCCATCCATACTGTTGCTAATAGTAAATTTTTTTTTCTTTTTTACAGCCGAGTAGTAGTCCATCATGTAAATGTCCCATAGTTGTTTTATCCACACATCTACTGATGGACGCTTGGGCTGCTTCCATATCTTGGTGATTGTAAATAATGCTGCAGTGGACATGCGGATGCTGATGTTCTTTCGTGGAAGTTCTCTTAAAACTACCACTCACTGTACAGATTCTGCCAGAATGTAGGATTCCAGCAGGAGAATACTGATACCTTGTTTGCTAGTGGCATGTCCATATCCTCACTGGAACATAGGAATGTGACAGTATATAATCCAAGTTCATGAACAGATACACTACAGGTTATTGTGGTATATCGTCATGGAGAGAGAGGGTCAAACCTCAAGGAGTCTCAGAGTCAGGAATTGATAATGGAGTAAGGCCCTACAGCACCTCTAAGGATGATATCCAAGAAGTTTTGATAAACATGAGTGAGGAACCCTGAGCTAGTCTGTAAGGTGCCCGTAGGTACATATCTTGACCAACAAAAGGAGCCCTTGTGTCAAGTACAAAGAAGTACAAGGCCCTTCTTGGTGGACGCAGCCTCGCAGAGTCTCCCAGAGCCCTCCTTGTTTGAGTGCTGCCATTCAGGACACAGCCTGCACAGTTGTGTGCCTTGGCCCTAAAAGTTACACATGAGATGAACTGACGGGCTTCCCAGTTTCGGTTGCTGTCCGCTGCCCATTTATTTTATAATTAGAGGATGCTTATTGTGTGCCAGCTTAATGGTAGCTGCTGAGCACACTTGTAAACAAAACCCGGCTGACCAGCAGAACCTAGGTGGTCCAGTTCAGAATTCAGCTTCTGCTTGACCTTCATTAAGGCAACAATAAACAAAATACTATAGTGTGAGTACCCAGTCCTTGAAGGTCACGTTCGGATGAAATTTTCTAAGATGGCTACCAACTTGTATGGCAGCTCTTGGATTTAAAATGCCAAGAAAAGGCCCTGGTGCCTCCTGGGTGAACCCTGGTTTATTCTCTCACGACTAAAGTTCAGATTTCCTCACATGGCAGGAGGGAGAGACATGGCGTTTGGAATAGCCTCTTTTTCCTTAGCACCTGGCTACAGGTGGGGAGGGGAGGGGGGAGTGGAGGCTGTCCTCAGCTCTGGGAATCTGTCCCCAGTCAGAAAACTTTTTCTGCCCCTCAGTCTGAGTTCTTTGTCATTGAGGACTTTTCAAATGCCCTGATGGAAGTGTTCTGTTGGGACAGATTCCTGTCATTCCCTGCCCATCCTCCCATCTCCCTCCTTTGTAGGAACCATTCTTTTCTGTATGCAACTAACTTCTTTACATTCAGTGTTTATATCTGTAAGTCAGGGTAGTCTGGGTTATGCTATCATAACAAATACTCAAAATCTTCATGACCGAATGACCTATGTGGATTTGCTGGAAATCTGTTCTGTTTCATTATAGTCTTTTTGAATTCTGGTCCAGGAATGGTCTTTACAATATTGGGAGTCACTGTAGTAGAGGAAGAAAGAATATGATGAAGCTCTCATTGGCTCTTAAAGCTTCTGCCTGGAACTTACATGTATCTCTTCTTCTCTCCTTTTGTGGGCCAGAGCGAGTCATATGACCATCCCTAATATTAATCATATAACCAGAAAGAGAAAAAAGCTGGATTCTTTGTGAATGCTTATAATAATTACCACCCTGCTTATTTTATTATTGACACTGAAGTAAAATAAGCAGGAGCTTAATTAGTTTTCTCTTTACTTAATGATGGATTTGGGCTAACTTAATAGTTAAATTACTTTGTTTTACCATTATGCTATTTACATTTTTTCTTCTGAAGCAAAGAAAGCTAGAAAAAATATGAAAAGTTTATAAATGGCTTTTTTATTACATTCTGAACAATTGTAAAATATTTTAAACTTAAGGTTTTTATTCCTTTTTAAGTAGTTTTTTAGTAGAAATTTATAGACATATAGAAATTATATGTAGTGATTTAAATTTCATTTTTTTCATAATGTAGTTTTTTTTGTTTTAGTTTAAATGTGCTAAAATATACAACATAAAATTTACTATCTTAACCACTTTTAAGTGTATAGTACATTTACATTGTTATGTAACCATGTAATATGGATATTTTAATATGATTTTAGTGTTATGTATTTAAGAAAAATACAGAAATTGTAGTCCCAAGTCTTGGTTTAACTCTGTGAACTTGGGTTCATACTTCACTGAACCCAAGAATTCACATCAGTGAATTCTTACTTCACTGATTTGTATATTGCTTTCCTAATTTGCAGAAAAATTTCCTCTCTGTCACGTAATCTTTACTATTTCTTTTCCTTCATATATTAAAATGTTTTGCCCTTTTATCCCAGTGTGTTCTATAATGATTATAGAATGCTTGTTATGTGCCCACTTAATGCTGACTCCTGAGCATATGAGGGAGAACCCTTCAAAAATGGAATTGATTTATTAAAAATTGTGTATTTATTTTTACATATTTAAACTTTAGTCACTTCTGAAGTATTCTCCATTGGATGCAATACACCTATTGAGACATTTTTTCCATTGCTGAAAACTCTTTTTTAAAAAGATTTTATTTATTTATCTTTAGAGGGGAAGGGAGGGAGAGAGGGAGAGAAATATTAATGTATGGTTGCCTCTCGTGTGTCCCCTACTGGGAACTGGCCTGCAACCCAGGCATGTGCCCTGACTGGGAATCAAACCGCGATCCTCTGGTTTGCAGTCCTGCATGCAATCCACTGAGCTACACCAGCCAGTGCTGAAAACTCTTTTTTTAACTTGTTGGTTTTGATACCTTTTAGTGCTTCTGCCATTTTTTGTTTCAACTCTTCAATATCAGC